CTTCTCTCTTCACGGGTACGCTAACTGGATCTTCAATTCTATTTTCACCTTAAGGCTCATATATTTGCCACTCTCCCAATCCACTATGCGTTAAAAAAAATAAAATCGAATAACTATCATTCAGCATGTTAGCCCTAATCTGGATGCACAGGCTAGTATGACTTGATAGAAAGCGCTATTAAAATGAAGTTAAGATATTTGTATCCAGCAATAATTATCAGAACTCACCTCTGCTGTGAGAATATTATATCAGAGCTATGATGAAAAAAAAATGCTAAGTCATTTCAGTAGGCTACTGTAAAACACTGATCACCGTTCTAAATTTGAACCATGGGAATCCAACCTCATTTCTCATACTGTATATAATAATTTGATAAAGTAAAATAAAGAAATTGTAATCAATGGTGCTCGCAACAGAATTCAAAAATGATTGAGACACAGAACATTATAAATAATGTCCAGCAAGCAGGATACCAAACCACCTTTATATTACAACATTTCCACAAAAGTATAACTATCAATAACCCAATAAACAAAACCACAAAATATCTATAGGGCGATATGTTACATTCCATACTCACAAACATCTATAACAATAGCCAACTACTTAAGAAACTCTGGCATCCAAACATATTACTGTAATTCCCCTAACATAGGCTCCACCATAAAAGTCCACTATCTAAAAATAATCCTACTATCATAAAACCCACTAACCAAAACAGAGAATAAAAGGCAATATATTCCGTAGAGTGTAACAGCTGCCAAGCCAAATACGCAGGGGAGACAGGAAGGAGAGTCAGCAATAGAATATATGAACATAGACGCAACGTTATTAATCAAGACTATAGGTCTCTAATTTTCCAATACTGCAAAGGAACAGGTCACACTTTCGCATTAGGAGAACCTAGAATACATTACAATAACATAAACAGCAAATATCAAAGGCTTATAATTGATTCTCTATTATTCAGAAAACACAATAGCATTAATAGAAAATAGATTTGCCCGAAACATATAACACAATATATCCTAGTACCAGCTAATAATACCAACAATAATATAAGTAACTTATATGTAATAGCCAATAACTATTATAAAACTACTTAAATAATAGAATTTCTAACCTATAAGATAATTCTTAGAATATAGCAAACAATAGTAGAATATGTGTAAATACCTTAACCAAAAAAAAAAAAGTCTTAAGAAAACAAATAATATGCAAAACTTCCTAATGTATATATATATATATGTACATAGAATCATAATAGTTTTAGCATCAGGCGACGTTATATTTTCTTGATATATTGTATATGTTTCTCCTGTAGAAGGGCGGACAAGCTCGAAAGCTTGAGAAGACCAGAATAAAAGATACTCATCCCCATAAACGTTTTACTTTGATATCAGAAATCAATGATAATATTAAGGTTTTGCCACAAACAATGTGAATCGTAAAAGACAGCGGCGAGAGATGCGGTATACACCGCCTCAACATAACTTTCATTGCCTGATAAAATGCCAGTGAAACGGAAAGCATAAATTAGAATTCACGATTTTATAATAGACTGTTAATCTCAGGATGCGTGGACTACTTCACCAATACTTAAAAACAGTATGGCTTTTCATTAGGTATATATTTCTAAAGTATAGGGGATGAAACATATACTAAATTCGAGCCCCGCGGCGGGCGACATTGTTGCGTTCCCGGTTTGGATAGATGAAAAGGGAGGATACACGATGTGACTTATTAAAGTTTCCTTACTTAAATATATATATATATATAGCAATTTAGGCCAACAACCCCATGTATATAACCCGCAGCAAGACCTTAATGTTGTATAATAGAAGCACAGCTGTCAATGATGCACTATCGACATATGTCTTTACATCATCACATGTAATGCAATTTGTGCAAACAGGATAAATAAAGAAAAGAAAAAAAAAAGGGGGGGAAACTCTGTAATTGATTAAGAGTTTGAGTTAAAGCAGGGATCGAGCATATAATATTGTCAGAATAAAGGTCTAAAGATGGAAACAACCGCGACACTAGTATACAATTTCATCAGACAACCCATGAAATCGTTATTAAATTGGGCAATCTATAAAAGACTCCTTCTGGAAGTTTAGCAACCCACTGAAGACGCTGGGAGCTATTTCATAGAGGAAAATTATAGCAACAGATCTCTATAATTTCTACAGATCAACTGTAAATAGATTCATATTAAGGCATTTTTATAGCCCAAATAACACAAACAATAGTCAAACATACAAATCTGTTTGCATCATGCCGTACCCTCCTAACAGCGTAACAATAGCCCGAGGAATCAGAAAATATGGTATAATGGTAAATATGATGGAATAACGCACTGAAACACATAAAAGTACAAACATTACTAAAACCTGACAGATAGATACCCTCAAAGTAGCCCTAATAAAGTCGTAATTTGCAACTGTCGCTGTGTCAATATATCACAGCAAAGATATAGTACACAACTCTATTCCAACAGAGTCGGTAGTTCTATATTTATTACAATTTGTGAAATTAAGGTGTGGGGGGTAGTACCATAAAGCAAAAGGAATGAAATATGTATGAGAGGAAACAAGAAAATTTCTCTAGATATTTATTTAAATAAATTAAAATTTGGGAACATGTCTATACTGACGAGATATGCTATTTACATAGTAAAATTTAGATAGAGGTGACCTGAAGTTACTTTATAGCCCTTTAGGGCCCATGCGAAATCTAGGTTGGTTACTACACAAAAAAGGGGGGGGCGCTAAGTCATAATGACAAATGGCTTACCTTTTCTCGAAAGTGCCGGCAAAGGTCTGATCTCCCGTCTGAAGACTGTCCTCTCACTGAGCGACTCCGATTGAATCTGCCTTTTGGCAAAGAAACCCTCTTTTATTCTTGTCTCTCTCCGTTTTCATTCGCTGGCCGCGCCCAAAGTTTCTATTCGCTGGCATTTTCATTCGCCGAAAGAAACACCAATCAAAATGGCCAACGGCTCCAGTATACAATTTCATAGACGCCCCAGGCCTCTCCCATCAAAATAGAACATATAGTATTACCAAAACAAAAAAATCTAAAGAGAGAAACAGCCACGGCACTAGTGTAAAATTTCAGACCCCAGGCCCCCCCTCCACATGGATTGAAATACTATCCTCCCTTTTCTCGGGACGGTATATACACTGCGTGACATTGAAAATGGAACACCAAGAAATAGTGGCCAGAAAATTATGCAAATTTCAGGGTAGACGCGCCTAACCGAGTTATGCAAATGATGTAAAATGCGCAGCTCTCGTGCGCACATGGAGTAAGATATAAGGGAAGGAACTTGCAGAAAGGACAGTAATCGTGTTGTTATTTCTTCAAGGAAAATCCTTGTAGAAATTTTGTTCTTGTGTCAAAAGACACGTGTAATAACAGAGAATGCCAGGTCATCGTAAACGGAGGCAGTTCAAGCAGACAGACGCTTTTACGAGGGGCATGGTGATGGGACTGAAAAGGGCAGGTTGGTCCATACGTCAAATCGCAGCTGATACACACCTTGGTGCGTCCACGGTGCACCGACTGTGGAGAAGATGGTTGGAACAAGGAAATGTGGCAATTTATAGGAATGTCGGTGCAACTAGAGTGACATCAGCACGTGTGGATCGGCGTATCCTTCGACAAGCAGTCGCGGCCCCACAAGCCACTTGTACCGCCATCCTGCAACATGTGCAAGACACCCTAGATCATTCCATCTCGACCAGAACCATTTCCCGTCGATTGGTTGCTAATGGCTTGCACTCATGCCGTCCGCTAAGAAGACTGCCATTGACCCTACCGAATAGGCGCCAACGTTTGGAATGGTGCCGGGCTAGATCGACGTGGATGACGGAATGGCACAGGGTCGTGTTCTCAGATGAGTCGCGTTTCTGCTTGTCCAGTGATAGTCGCCGTGTACGCGTGTGGCGTCGACGTGGAGAAAGGTCCAATCCGGCAGCAATTGTGGAACGCCCCACCGTGCGACAACGTGGAATCATGGTTTGGGGCGCAATCGCGTATGATTCCAGGTCACCTTTACTTCGTATTCAGGGCACTATGACGGCCCAACGATACGTTGATGATGTGCTGCGACCGGTGACACTCCCCTACCTTCAGGGGGTACCCAATGCCCTTTATCAGCAGGATAACGCCCGACCGCACACTGCTCGCATTAGCCAACAAGCTCTGCAAGATGTACAGATGCTTCCCTGGCCACCGTACTCTCCTGATCTCTCACCAATCGAGCACGTCTGGGACATCATTGGACGCCGTTTCCATGCCTTGCCACAGCCGCGTTCAGAAGACGAACTGTGGCAAATGGTTGAGAGGGAATGGAGAGCCATCCCTCAGGACGCCATCCGTACTCTGATTGACTCTCTACCTAGACGTGTTGCTGCGTGCATCGCCGTCCGCGGTGGTCCTACTTGCTACTAAGCCGACGCCGTTCTCGCTCTGTATTATGACTATCATTTTGAAATGAAGATCACTTATTGTTCGTCCCTGTCTCTCTCTGTCTGCCGAGTTTCATCACTTTCTGGCCACTATTTCTTGGTGTTCCATTTTCAATGTCACGCAGTGTATATCGCCCCCCCCCCCCCCGTCTTGGCTAAAAATCGACCCAGGCCCCTTTTACCTGGAGTGTAATGTGATGCTTCCTTTTTTTCGGGAAGGATATTTATAAGGCTTAGTCTTTTAGAAATCTTCCTTCTCCATTTCTTCTTGTCACCTTTACCTAAATTTTTGGTGAGGGGAATATATGTACATATGAAACAACAGTTTCCAGCTCGGATGTCTCTGGATGTCTTCTTCTCCACCAGGCATCAGCTTTCGGCATGGAAGTCTGGTGTCACCAAGTGTCTAAGTTTCTGGGCAAAAAAAAAATGGTCTATAAGTCTATGTGGGAGGGAAGCCATGTATCCATTTTTTTTATGTTGATTATACATACGCCTTCTGTTGGGGTATGGTTACAAAAACGTGCCCCAACAAATCGAACCTCGGCCGTCCGCGTGGCAGGCGAGCATTCTACCACTGAACCACAGATGGTTATGAGAAATGGCCATATTTGGGTATTTATTCCATTCACAAAAGCAAACGGTGACAGAATTGATTAAATGCTTTTATTCAAATACTATTCGTTACAATTATAAATTGGCGTCGTGGATGTCATTCTTGTGAAACGTCCCGCTCCAAACTTTGTGTCTGAGAAGCGATATTTTTATAAAGAGATGATCTGGCTTTGTGTCTTCTGCTCGAATGAATGTTTTTCTGTTAGAATTTTGTTCCTGCATATTAAAAATGAACTGGCTTCACCAGTGGTCTCTGCTTTTTGGAATTTTTCCAGATATAATTTTGTATCTGATAATCAAATATGATACAGCAATATTGTCATCATCATTTTCTAAATACAAAACAACTACTTTTTTTCCCCAGAACCTGTCAATTTATTTTTCTTGACTAAAAATCCAAAAAATATATTTTCCAGATTTTTCTCTATGTTCTGTTAAAACACGTTTTACATGTCCATTAGGTCAGCTGATATTACCTCCCATCTTCACCGCTAGAGGCGCTGCTTGCGAGCGAAAGGGCAAATTTGCCACGCAATTTGCAAATAACTTGTATACATACTTGTATACTTGTGTACATAGACCATAAATCTGTACATAGACAGGAAAAGCACATATATTTCAATAATATAAATGAGTTATAAAAATTGTAAAAAAAAATGCATCGGCGGGGCGCCCACGTGGCAGGCGAGCATTTTCTACCACTGAACCAAAAGCAAACGGTGACAGAATTAAGAAAGAATTGTGCATGACGCTGATAACTGTATATATTAATAATATATATTAATTATCATTAAAAATTATTATTCAAAATATTATTTTAACTAATGAATATTATTTGAAAATATTAAAACAAAAAATAGCTGATTATTTATTTTAAAAAAGAAAATTTATTATAATAAATTATATACATGAAAAATTAAGTAATAAAAGAAGGTGAAGAGATGGGCTGGTATGACAATAAAGAATTCTCGACGTCCACTTCTTTCTTGTCGAGGCAGCTTCATCATTGTCCACCAGCTTTCTATTAAGTACTGTGGGTGAGCTTTGTGGAGGCAGCAGAAGCAGACTCCATACATCTATTGATAGTCTCCTCAAACTAGTGGAAAGGTCTGTCGCAAAGCCACAACACCAGCTTTGGCAAACTGAGAAGTGTCCACCGCTTTTCTTAATATGATCTTCCACCGCCACTTTTATTTTCACTCAGATACATCTAATTGCTTAATGATAGAAGATAAAATATTTTATTTTTTCCTTTCTAGTGCATTTAAATAATTAGTCATGAATTTACAAAACTTAAAATCAAAAGTTCACTGGGGATTAGGCCTTAAATAGGCGGAAGCCTGCTCTCGGCAGATTGGTCATTTCCTTGTAAGAAGCGTAACAAAAGACTTAAAAAGAAATTTAGAAATTTGCTCATTCCTGGCCACTCTGACCACCCAGAAGTCTGAAAATTTGTACACTTGCATTGTTCATTGGACTGAGTGAATGTTAAAAGTTTCATACTTCTATGTGATCTGGAAGTATATTAAAATTAATTTACAAAATTTGGAAGACAATTTGGGAATTTGGCCATTTCTGGCCACTCTGAAAACCCAAAAGCCTGAAAATTTGTCAACTTGCAATGTCATCAGGTTCTGAAAAGTGTACAAAATTTCAGATTCCTACGTGCTCTAGAAGTATATTAAAAATTGATTACAAGATTGATTACAAATTTGATTACAGACATACAGACAGAGAAAAAGTAAAATAAAAGCTTTTAAAAATAAAAATTAAAAAACATCGATAAAGAAGCATCAGCAATATTCCATGGCATAAAATAGTTCCACCAGTATCGCTATGGAATAGAAGACAGTCAAGTAGTGTTGAAAGAGGACAGTCCAAGTAGTGTAGCCTTTTACTATATTTAAAATTCTGTGCAATTGTAGAGGACATGCTCTACAGTTTACTCTTTCTCTTGAAAGTGTGGACAGGTTGGATCAGGGATTATTTTTATGATGGCCTGGAGTGGTTGTGAATTTTCTCAGGTAATGAAAATAGTAATTTAATTGTGAAAAATGTATTCGAAAGTGTACAAAATTTTTATATAATTAGAGATGTATCAACATTTTCATATGAAATAAATGCTCAAAATAGAATATTTCATATTATAATTATCAATAAATTGTTTAAGTTTAAAAAAGCTTTTTAATTAAAAATTCTAATAGGCAAATAGTGTTCACAATTATTTTAAATATAGAATACATTTTTATTCCTCCCCCTTATAAAAATAATGTAAAATACATTTTTTTAACTTCAAAGTTTAAATGTCCAAATTCACAAAGACCGCCAAAAATTTAATATTTAATCATTCAAAAAAGAAATTCTTATAAATATAAAACAATACTGAACGTTTTATTTTAATAAGACTACATATTTTTAACGAAAATGAGCTTTTCTCTTTGAAATTAAAAACCATTATATAAAAATTATATATATTTTGTAACACCGATAGAGGGCGATTTTCTTCGTTTATTTTTATTGATATTAGTGATGTGTTATTGCCTTTTATAAACAGTTGCCTTCTTTTGTTTTGTATGCTTACTTTGTTAATTAATGTTTTTTTCATTTCATATTAATTTATTTTTTACCCTTCAATTTTTAATTAAACATGGAATTTTCACTTGAAGATGATGCGAATAATCCTTACGACGAGGTTAAAAAATTAAAATTTCTTGTCAAACAGTTGGAGAGACAAAATAAACAACTCCTTAAGAATACAAATTCAACAAGCAAGCCCACAAGATCTTTGAGTTTACATGAATCATCTGGTTCACCTAAAAAATATCTTCAAGGAGAATCCTGTAAATGTATTACAAAAGAAACAAATAATGTTACCGAAGATAAACCAGAAATTAAACCAAAATCAAATTCAATAAATAATAATAATAACAACAATAATGATACTATAAATCCAAATGTAGATGATATTTTAAATTTAGATGACTTGGAGCTTTCAGACGAAGATAGCTGGTAAGTTTTTTTTTTTTTTTTTCATATTTTACTTTTTTGAGATAATATTTAAATAGAAATTTAAACATTTTCCCAATCAAAATAGATATAAAACATTTAAAAAAAATATATATATATATAGATACATATCCTAAAATGATTAGTTGCATATTGTTGTATTTAATGACAACTTACATTTTTATTTGTTACTTTAGAGGAAAAAAGGGGTGAAACAGTGAATTTTATGATTCTTAAAGTAATTGGCCACTTCCCCATATTGCTTAATACAGGAATACATAATCTTTTATTTCATTACAAATTATTTCAAATTAGACAATGTCATATTTTTGTGCAATAGATGAAGAGAAGGTAGGTATTCTAAATTGAAAGATACATTGATTACAAACATGACATATACATTACAATAAATTAGATATCAGTTTGATATCATATCCACAATTATATAATTAACAGTTAACAAAGATAGATTAATTAAATCATTTCTATTACATACTCAAAATCTCTCCCTAATTAAAAGCTATTAAATATAAGAAGTTAAAACATGATAAGGCACAATTTGGATTATAGATTAGAAATAAAAGGAAATAAGGACAAATCCAAATAGTGTGTGATGTTTCAATAACAACATTATTATCATCATTAGACAAGACTAAAAGTTTTTTTTTCTAATTTTGTCTGATGATGGTAACAAGTTATTAGAAATGTAAATTATGATAAGGTACAATATGGATTATAGATTATAACCACAAGGTAATAAGACCAAATCCAAATAAATAAATAGTGTGCGATGTTTCAGTAACAACGTTGTTACCGAAACATCGCACACTATTTATTTATTTGGATTTGATCTTATTACTTTGTGAGAATTAAAACATTTTGATTGGCTAAGAGGTTCATGATGAACTGTAAAATTTTGTCATAATTTTGTATTAATTTAATTGTTCTGTATTATCATCTTTTTGATTATTTATAATTAGGTTAAAATCTCCAATATATATGGGAGGTCTTTGGACAAGTTCTCAGTGTTTACTAATTCTATTGTAAAGTGCATACAAGCCATGACAAATGATAAGGTACAATTTGGATTATAGATTATAAACACAAGGTAATAAGACCAAATCCTAATAGTGTGTGACATTTCGGTAACAGTTTTGTCTGAAGATGGTAACAACGCTGTTACCAAAACGTCACACATTATTTATTTATTTGGATTTGGTCTTATTACCTTGTATTTATAAGCTATGACAAAGTTGTTATAAAGTTGCTTAAGTTTTATTTTTATTTCTTGATAAAGCACAATTTGGATTATAGACACAAAGTAATAAGACCAAATCCAAATAAATAGTGTGTGACATTTCGGTAACAGCGTTGTTACCATCTACAGACAAAAGTACTGAATTCCAGCACTTTCAGTACTTTTGTCTGAAGATAGTAACAATGCTGTTACAGAAACGTCACACACTATTTATTTGGTCTTATTACCTTGTGTTTTTATTTCTTAAAACTATAAGAGGGGTTTATTGCAAGGAAAAAAAGATTGGGGATTTAAACAATTCAGGATTTAAAAAAAAGGAATTCTAACAAGAGTGACAATGTATATATTAGGATCTTTGGAGTAAAATTTATTGGTTTGTCATCTAACAGTGATACATAATCAGCAATCAAGGAAACCTATATCACCCTGTTCCTACACAATTCATCTCTTTGTTTCCTCATTTTATTATCTCTAGTACACATAGGACATACCATTGTTACGACTACTAGAGTAGGCAACTTTATTTTTATGCAAATATATTTGTAACTTAAAAACTAAGAGAGAAAAAAAGTATGTAAATTTCTTTAATGTATAAATTAGTATGTAAATTTCTTTTAATGTATAAATTGAGCGTGTTTTTCAATAAAAAAGAGTTTTTGGATAAGTTTTTGGATGGTTGATAGTGGTCCTTAGAGCCTCTTCCTTGGAG